GACCCTCTGTTCGCCCCACCTCTCTGGAGTTGCCTCAACAGTCTACAGACATCTTTGAGCCTGTTCACACGTCGCTTCGTGAGGGAGGGAGGAAACTCCAGACTACAGACTGCTCGAGCTCTTTCACACACTCCACAAAGAACATCTCGGCCCAGCACTGGGAGGTTCCTCATCTGACCTGATGCTCAGAGCTCCGACCATTCCCGCCCAGGTCTCCTTACTTTCATCAGAGCTCGTCTGTTGGTCTCCTGAGTACATCTGAGTCTGTCCCGCATATCCAATACCAGCGTATAGTAGGGCACCGAGCACCTCACTCAAGGTCTCGATCGACTCCATCCCCGATAGAAAGGGCATCATAGAGTTCTTAGAAATAGCAAATCCCCCGCCAGTCGCAGCTTCGGAGCCGTTGAGCAGTACTGTATCAAAGCTAGGGTCCAACGGGTTGATCATGAAGGACGGTGGCCATATACGATGGGGACTCTTGTCGGTGTCACCACACTGACTCACCATCATCAACGAGCTCATCCAATCGCCCAGAGTCCCACCGCTGAAGGCCATCCCTGATACGACTAGGGGGTTGTCGATGATGCCACTGTTGAGCTCCATAGCAAGTTGGTCTCGAGCTCCGCTCCGCCATTTTTGAGAGTAACCATCAGTTATGCTACTATCGTTATAATAGAGATCAGCGGCATCCAACAACTGCTGTAACAACTTCAAGAGCCTCTCCTTCGCGACGCGCGTGAGTGACATGAACCGGGCTCGCTCGAATGCCACCACGGCATCATAGAGTTTACCCCAGCCTGCTGACCATCCAGTGAGCTGAGCTGAGGCGAGCATATCTCGAAGTGAACCTTGAAAGACACAAATACCACCATCAGGATACCACACTTCTGCCTAATACCAACTAGTTGTCCCATCGCGGTCCCATCCTGGTACTCTAACACCCGATCAAGGAGGTCTCTGCACATTGGTACAATCTGGGCACTGGTCATTCGAACGATCACGGACTGCTCTGACTGAGGACCGCATCATCACGACTGGCCCCTTGTTGCTCCCTACCTGCCACTGTTCATCATCAATAATCTCCAATACGCCCACTACTGCGGCAGCGAGCTCTTCATTCCAGTCGCCGTAACAGTCAGGGTCAAAACTGCCGTTAGCCGACCTACGACTCCTCCACGCGAACGTAGAGGCATCTTGGTACTGGTCCAAGGCACTACCAAACCGTGAAACGTGCGTAGTCGCCACAAAGCCATAGACAACCACATCGTCAGTATCGCCGTGCTTAACCGTTACACTATAGTACCCGTATGCAGGTGGCCGGAGCCTAATCTCACAGCCAGGTGACGTAAGGAGATCTACGGACTCCCCAGATGGCAAGGTCAACACTGCAGTAGAAGTGTCAGTGATATGGGCATGCTCCAACTCTACGAACGTGTTCCCAGCCAGAATCACGTGTTCTTCTCGGACGTCGTATTCTCGTAGGAGATCCTCATAAGTGCTCTTCACGGGCTTCACTTTGCACACCAAAGATGGCGTTAATATAGCAGGGTTGCATTCGTGCTCTATTTCAATGAGTAGTGGTACTACATATGCACGACTTGACTCATCCGCGAGGACATAGTCGATAACTTCTTGTTCGACATCTGGGAATTGGTAGAAATTAAATGACATTAAAACTTCCTCAACAATTATTGCTGGCCATCGAACTAGTACGAACCGTGCGCTCACTATGCAGCTCTTAATAGACCTTACGATAGGTACCGGGAATAGAACCCCCTACCTTCCGATCAACATCCACCAACACTTCCACTACACCAAAACAGAATACATTAGAGAGATAACGCAACCACCCTGATGAATTGTGGTTGAACATTAATCGCGGAATGGTACAAGTAGTAATCCGATACATATCAAATTCATGACAAAAAGAATGCAAATAGCAGCAGCAGGCAACCCCGCACACAAAATTATCATACGCTATCCCCTCTCGTGTAGATCTGGCTCGGTGGTACGTCAACTACTCGATAGCCTTGAAGCCATTCGCCAAAATCGCCTGTTGATACCACCTTGGTGAGCTCACTACGGCCGCGCTTAGTCTTGTTACGAGAGTAGACCGAAACCTGCAGGACCAACAAGCATACTAAAAGGAACGGCACCGGTTGGAATTCTCTCCGACCAGCCAACCACGACAAAACGTAGAGTATGGGAGCTGCAAGAGCACTGCAAACATACTTGGCAGTAGCTGAGACGCTCTTGAGGACGTAAGCCGTGATCCAACCATTTAGCACTATAACGATGAAGGCTACCCAAGATTGGAGGTTCATACCAACATCATATAGACATTCGCAAGTACGACCATGGTCACAGGCAACCGGTATTTGCAACGACCCGCATATTGGTTTGAAGCCGAGTACATTGTGGGGACCATGTATGAGGAGTAAACCAGAGAGGGTAAGGACGAAACTAATGAGTTTAAAGCGAGCCGCTGTAGCTAGGAAGCCTCTACTGTCCCCTTTCATGAGCCATTCTAGGTATACCGAACACACGGACGACAGCAAGGCCTTGGATACGCTCCAGGGGATAGCACTAGGGGCGATAACATGCTCCTCTGTCAGTGTGAACGCCAGTGCACATATAACAACACCAATCAGAGAGTGCAGATCACTCATAGTACGACCAAGACAGTAGTAGGAGAGGACAGCTACCAAGAGTAGTCGAGTTTGAGCGACTACTGTCATAGTAGGACTATTGCCGTAGTCGATAGCCTGCATTGTAGAGAGATCACTGACCGAGTAGAGGACCGCTAAAGGAGTCATCAGCTTCAAGTCCCTCCAGGTCATGCCCAGCCGATCACTGCGGCGACCATCTTTATTGCGGAAGTACTCGACTGTGAACGCTAAGACTGAGCCGATGAGATGGTCAGCCAACATGAAGGCTGCTATGGAATAGGGGTATGCAGGACGCGTGGTAATGATGGATCCAGTGTTGGCGTCCACTGTATAAAGCGTCGTGGTCTTGGAGTTGTCTACTGCCCAGGGACCAACTACGCATACTATGAGGCACGTTGCGAGAGTGATGTATGATAGCGGTAGTATCATCATTAGGAAGGATGAGAGCACACTTGGGACGATATCGTCAAGACGATTATGAATTCTAAGTTTCCTTGATTGTAAAGACTGCGTGAATTCCATCACTACACAGTAGTAATCTCATTTGCAGTCGCAACAACTTCACACCCGGTGAATGATACGATGATCAACTCAGTTTAACACAATTTGACCAGCGAGCAGACTTCATGGAAACACCATTTCTCACTCTCGTCATTGTGGCCTACGTACATGAGCAGCGAACTCCTACGTCATGAAGTGCGAGCACAGGAGACCTTCAACGTAGGTGGCCGTAGGTCTCCACATCCCTCTCTCCTACGAAGTTGGAACGGGGTGCAGTGATGATACCCGGCGCGCAGAAGCAATCTCGCCACGCCAAGATGATCGATTATCGCTGAGCTCAAGGGAGACGTGGGCGCCATCAAAGAACATAGGAGCGATTCTGAATGCTCTTGGTATCTTGTATTCATTTCAGTTGCCGGTGGTTGTTTTTGTTGTGGCATCACTTATCTCTACACTATGCGTTGTCCGATGAAATCGTCGTCCCAGGCCCCTCGGGCGTGGACTCCTCGAGTGTCCAGGACGCCCATTACGACTAAGTCGAGACGCTCTCCTGCCCTACCACTTAGTCAGGACAAATTGACTATATCGCAGCTGAAGTCGATGGTCGAGTCGCACGAGGGAGGCAGTGTGAGGCAG